GATGTAGCCCAAGTAGATTTAGTTATTTCAGAGTCTCCGGGTGGGCTCAGAGGCAGGCAGGAAACAGACTGCAGGCCTGCACACACCCTCTCAGTTCCCTTGTTCTCTCTGGCTCTCGCCAGTGTGCACTTTGCTTCCATGTAACGGCTCCTGGGGAAGATGCCAGTAATCTCTGCTTTATGTCCTAGCCAGCAACCACATGCTCCTATGTTGACTTGAAGGAAACAAAAGTCTAAAGGAGACAGTATTTAACTGGAATGTACCTTAGAAAAATTCCAAAGCGTGAGAAATCCTCAAGCAGCCTTGCATATAAAGCAGAAACTTTCCTAAGTCAGCAGCATTTCTTAAAACTCAGAGTCCACCCACACCACAGGCTACACAAGAAACGGAATCTGCAAAAATCATTACTTTCCCCGTGAACATTGCCAAGCACCTGCAAGACTGAAAAAAGGAATGACATCCAGCTCTCTCTGAGGAAGTGCAGGCCTTTCCAGCACACCTAGTGAGATGAAAACCACATGGTGACGGAGTACAAAAAGTCCGGACCATTAAAAATGTATTTTCCAAACAATCAATGCCCAAAAGTTTAAAACTTCTCTTTAGAGTCAAGAAATACTTCAACACTGTGACAGAGATTATCAATAATTTCCTTTAAGCAAAACAAATTCTTAAATATTAACTAAGCCCATGGATTACTCGTGTATAAAATGCTAACAAGCACACTGATCTGGAAATTCAGTCATCTGCCCTATTGACTGGGAGCTTGTGTCTTAACTTCTCGTCACCATCAGTGTCCTGATCTAGGATTGACAGAGAGACGGGCTGCCCCAGGCCAGCGAGCACCACATCCTTCCCCAATCCTGCCTGCCCATCACAACTTTAAGGCCTCTCTCTAATTCTCCCCTGCCAAGCTTAGCTCTTCTGCCATCTCTCAATCATTGGCCCCTTATTTATATTGCTTAAATATTATCTCAGTGAACTCCAACTAATCATTTATGTCCTTTTGCTTTATTTTAATTTTGCTATACCAGATATTGTATTAGCTCAGACAGTGGGCCACTGGTTGATGCTTGGAATTTCATTCAATGCAATGGTCTTTATCATGATGTTTCATATGTAATTCCAATCTAAGAAAACAATAACTATTTATTCCCTGCTTTATTTCAGAAAAAATTTAAGACTGCTTATACAGATACATATAATAAAATAACACTTATAGAGACAGGAAATGGGACAAAGGAGAAATTACAGTAGGAAAGTTTAGATGAAATTAGGAGAGAGGCTTGATTTACAGCTCAGCCTATCAGGCCCACGCACATGCGAGATCAGACTGTGAGCTTTCTAAGCTTCCTAGCAGTCAAAGGACAGAGAGACTCACTTACATCGGTAGCTGGAATCGTAGAGCCTGCTGGTCACATCTGTCCCACCACTTATTCTGCAAATAAAGTTTTATTGGAATGCAGCCACACCTCATCACTTACATGTTATTTGTAGCTGCATTCGTGGTACAATAGCAGAGCTGAGTGGTTGTAACAGAGACCTGCAAAGCCTAAAATAGTTACTAACTGGCTTTTTACAGAAACAAAGTTTGCAGATGCCTGCAGATGATTCTGTGCCTGTGAGACAAAAGCACAGCAATTTCCAAGGGTAAGCGCATTCTTTGTATGGTTCCAAAAGGAAAGAGCACTTCCTACTGTAAAGGGTTTACCATGTAATCTCCTGAAAAAAAATACAAACAAACAGCCTTAGCTTCATTTTTACAGTAAATATAGCAACAACTTTCACAGAGCCAATGGCATGATATCACAGCACAAGTCAGTAAAACGATTCTATGCGAGGCTGAAACGATGTAGTTCGGGGGAAGTGCTCTTCTGGTCTGGCTTAGTTCAGGGAGGATCTGTGCAGAGGTGAATGTCTGGTCAAGGCAGCCCTTCCCGCCCATCTTCCTTCTCCTAGGCATACGTGGCTAATGGATCAAGGTGTTCTCTCCAGCTCCCTGAGCTCCCTGGGCTCGCTAGCAATCTCAATCTATCATGAGCAGTTGGCATGCAAGATAAAACCGATATGTCATCTGTGCTTGATATTCTCTCCAAGTCTGATACATACTCATGTGGTAGGCTGAGGTTACACTCTTGCAAAGTTTCTGAAGCGCAGCTATTCTAGTTTGTCAACATGCACAGCTGTCCCCTTCAATGGCCATCCTCAAGGAAGGCCTAGATTCCTGGGAGAACCAGAAGCCTCACAAACCTACACAGATGCAGCTCAAATGAGTGTCTGAAAGCAGGGCCTGGAGTCTCCTCAAAAAAAGGGAGGGGAGCCTGGCCGGTGTGGCTCAGTGGTTGAGTGTCAACCCAGGAACCAAAAGGTCATGGTTCGATTCCTGGATAGGGCACATGCCCGGGTTGCAGGTTGGATCCCCAGTTGGGGGCATGCACTGAGACAGCCAACTGATGATGTTTCTCTCTCGTCGACATTGTTATCTCTCCATCCCTCTCCCTTCCTTTCTCTCTAAAAAAAGAATATTTTTTTAAAAAAAGGTGAGGAAGCTGCTCCTCTGCACAGACCAATGGGCGGGCAGGGCCAGAGAACAGCACAGGAATTTTACTGGGAAACTTTTAAGCCCAATACTCACGCTGTTCAAAGAAATAAAACCTCCAAACAGCCATGACTGTGACCCACTGACCTGGAACACATATATTCCTAAAGAACTCCCTAAGAAGCAAGGGCTCCAAAATAAATGCAAATAGACTGGAAACAGTTCAGTGTTGGGAGATGACAAAACTGCTGACTATGGATTCAGAGAATATACCTGTAGCCTTTCTTTATGCCCATTTCTTCTCTGTGCCTCTAATACTATGTTACAGATTATATTTCTATCCTATATAATAAAAGCCTAATATGCTAAGTGTCCAGTCATCTTTTCAACCAATCAAAGTATAATATGCTAATGATATGCTAAGGCCACTCAACCGCTCGCTATGATGTGCACTGACCACCAGGGGGCAGACAGTCAACCGGTCGACCAGTCGCTATAATGTGCACTGACCACCAGGGGACAGACAGTAGACAGGTCGACCAGTTACTATAATGTGCACTGACCACTAGGGGGCAGACACTCCAACCAGTAGGTTAGCTTGCTGCTGGGGTCTGACCTATCAGGGCTGAGTGAGATGGGCTGGACATGCTCTGGAGCCCTCCCGTAGTCCCTCCCCCCACTGGCCAACCTCCCATGTCCCTCCCCGGCCCAGATTATGCACTGGTGGGGTCCTTTGGCCTGTCCTGCATCCTCTTGAAATCCGGGACCCCTCGGGGGATATCAGAGAGCCGGTTTCAGCCTGATCATGCAGGCCGGTTTTGGCCCGATCCCATGCTTTATAGTAAAAGGCAAATATGCAAATCAACTGAACGGTGGAATTACTGGTCACTATGATGTGCACTGATCACCAGGGGGCAGACGCTCAAGGCAGGAGCTGACATGCACTGACTATCCGTGGCAGCACTAGGGATATCTGAATGATGGCTTAGGCCTGCTCCCCAGCCGGGGGG